ATCTATCTATCTATCTATCTATCTATCTATCTATCTATCTATCTATCCATCTATCTATATCTTTTTCTAAGGATTTGATATGACTTATATATTGTCTACCTGTCGGCACTTTCATACATATCTAACACTAATGGTATTAGTGTCCCTGTGTAGTACGCCATAGCCGAGATGATGAGATGAAATGTAATAAGATAATATTATTTATTGATCCCCAAGGGGATATTCATTTGTTAAGGGCAGATGATACTAAAATGAAATTTAGCAAAGACATCAAACACTTTCAATAAATAGTCATTTTTAAAAAATAAATAAAATAAAATAAAATAAAAATAATATAAAATAAAACAGAGACCACCACACAACGGAGGAAGCCCGATCAGAAAGGAGGCTGAATCAGAGGCAATATCTGAGCAAAGATTTAAACACCAGAGATAAAAGCTGAGCTTCTGAGATTTCCAGATCTCCTTCACCAGAAGAGTTCTCTGTAAAACAGCATGGGGGCAAGCCCGTACCAGAGCAAACCTACACGTAATTCAACAAATCAAAATACCTCAAATTCCATAATCACAAATGTATTATTTTATGATTTAGGTAATAAGATTAATGTTTATATATAATCTTGGCTTATACGAATTCAGTAAAAAAAAAGATTTACATATAAAAGTAAACCGAGTCTTGAAACTATATATTTTTTTAAACAGGAACACAGAAATATGATTTTATTTTTTGGTCTCCACAGGGTATGACTGGGCATCCAAACTTCATTACATTCCATGGATTTGTAAGTTTATGCATATTAAATAACCAAAAACATTATCTGTTTCTTTACTTTAACAATGTTTGATGTGGAGTAGAGGTATATCATTCCACTCGACATTTGTGATGGACCACTTTGGTGACAGCGAAACTGAAAAGCTCTAATGCTTGGACAAAAGAAGTGAGCAGTTAGTGCCACAATCTAGCACCACAACCTCCGTTTTACAAAACCGCAGCATTTCATACATATTCGATTACAGATATTTCATTTTCGCTTTAAAAGTAGTAACAGCCTCCCTGTTACTGTCAGCAGGTTTACATAATGATAGAAGGAGCTGCGGTAACACTCAACCTGTTTAAGTCACGGTACCACAAGGTCAGCATGTCAGCTGGTGCTGATGTGCAGATTTAGAAAAATGAAGTCTTTCTGCTCTCAAAAACCTACATTTGCTCTGATTAATTTAATTGCAATGAGAAATAGCAGACTATAGATTTATTGCCCAAAACACAGGTTTTCATAGCATCATCTGTATTCATTAGGTTTGGTTTTTCAGCACAGTGGTATGAATACGAGAAAAAAAAAATCCATGTGCATGTATTACTTACAGCACATTTCTCGGGACATACATATTTATCATTACCATAAATACTAGGTTGAGAAATAAAATGTATTTCGCCAGTTCTCTTGCCGTGAAGACGAGCAGGTAGGCGTTTACTGGATTTGCTTAGATATGACAGCGTTCACAGCCTGTAAATACCTGTATAAATGTAAAGTAGGTTGAAGCTGGCTGAACCTCACCCTCAGAAGGAGAGAAAAAAACATTTTGAATCAGAATAAGGCAAACCAAATTAAAGGGGGTGCAGATCCCCCGTGCCCCCCTCCAACCCATCCCAACCCCCCGTCCCTTCCACATTTCTGCCCTATCATCTATCTCTGGACCATGGTGGGGTTGTCATGTCGACCAACCTACAAGTTACTATGACAACGGCTCAAGGGGAAGCTCCTGCTAGTGAGGTTATTGCCTCCTTGGGGATGTAAGAAGGACAGGGGGAATGTGAGCGCAGACAAAAGGACTTACAGACACAGATAGACGTAAATAAAGGGAGAGGTCAAGTTGGAGTGTGTTAAATGGGGTTATGCTTGTGGTGTGTTTGTCAGTTAATATTTCTAATCACGCATAAGGGGACACAATGTGTGAGTTGGAGTTTCCTCATTGAAGTGATGGTTGTTGAACAAAGTTTTCTCCCTCATGGATGCAGCCTGAACCTCTCCTGCACATGATGTATTACACTTCCTGCTTGGTGCCATACCCTCGGGCAGTTAGGGGTGGGGGCAAGGGAGCGAGTGACATTAAGGACCCTCCAAGGTGTCAGATGGTCCCCTGCTTCCCCCATATTTTGTCATATAAATGTCATCAAGACAAGTTTTGAGTTGGGAAGCCTTTGACTGTCCCTCTGCCTGGGGGGTATCGCGGTGTTTAATTGCCCCATTAGCACTGACAGGCTAAATTGGTGGAAGGGCTAACTATACGTTACAGTGAAAACAACAAACCCCTGGCATACACCTGAGGACATGACGGACTTGGCGCGTTTTACAGTAGGCCCCGTTCATGTTTGCCTGTGTGTGGAAGAGAGAATGCGCATGGACTGTGAATGTACTTTTCCATGAGCTTTAATCTTGGCACGGTTTTAAAGCAGGATATTCATCTTTATGGAAATAAACATATAGACGCGGTCACAGAGAACATCTCTGCCCATTGACATGCTTCATCTTAACACACTGCATGCTAACATACGATGACTGAATTCTTTTTTATTTTTAATTGAATTTTAGTGTGTACTGTTTTTCTTAAAAACATACATTTGTGTTTGTTATTGGAAATACACAAAGTTACATGTTGCATTGTCTCTTAAAACTGAAAATGTTCCAAATGTTCTCTTGTTCCAAATTATGAAGTAAAATTAACTATCAAAAAAATTGAAATACACATTTATGAGCAAATTACATATTCAGAAGGATCATTTGAAAATAATTTATATATGTGCTGTTATGATACACATTAATTGAAGGTCCTTTTTATGATGACATTCAAACAAGCCCTGTTATTACAAATCTAGCAAACATATGCAAAATAAATTAATGTGTGTAAAACAACAACAACAAGCTCACAAAACAAACAGACAGCATTGACATCACAAATGCAGATCTTTATTTTTTCTAACCTTCAGGAAACTTTTTTTTGTATTTCAGTAAAATGTACAAAATTTGCATACAAAATATCTCTTACACACACTCATACTGGATTGATATAAACAAACAAGTTCAGGACCAACATTGATATGATGTCACCATCTTTTGTTCTTAAAATCACAAATTGTCATCGACTTGAAGGCAGCCATAACAAGAAAAAAAAATCCTGTTATGCCCAAAGACAACAGAGCAGTGAGTGATTTATGTCCCTGATAACCTGTACAGTCTTTGACGGTGGCCGATGCCAGATCATCACTTAAAACGTTGTTGAATCGTAAAATATTTATTAGATGTTCCACAAATGTAGGACACATCATTTGGCCCTGCATAAATTGGGATTTTTCCATTGCTGCACAAATGCAGGGAGACGATCCTGCAAAACAGAAAAAATATCAGAGCTAAAATCTTGTTATTCTAAAAAATACAATAGCATATGTGAACATGAATCCGTTATAAAGGTAGATTTGACGGTTATTTGACGCCATAGTGAGCTGATGTCGATCGTGCTGCAGCTTTTATTTAAACTGCAGTAGAAATTCCATATTATATTTTACATGGGACCTTTTTCTTTATTTATAAAACTGCATTCATTTAGTTTTTTTTATGACAAAGACAAACTTTGGTAATCAAAACCGAAAAAGTAAGTATGCCATTTGATCATATAAACAAAAGAATTTAAATATATGGACGACCGACAGATTGCACATCCAGCGTGAAATTCACAATAGTATTATCATGACAATAGGGCTGTGTTGCGAAGATGGCCGGTCGGAGCAGCAAAAAAAGAGGAAGAAAACTAAAGGTCGTCTGTGATGACATATACAGAGATGGACGAATAGCTTTAGGCCTATATTTTTCTCACAGAGAAAAACAAAAATCTACCTGTCAAACTCACACCTGCGTACTGGATTAACCAGCTCAGAGCGCAGAGAACAACGGTTCAGATGAGCGTTATTAAAGTATATTTCAACCACACATTTCTCATTTTGATGAAAGAACAGCTGTTCCGTTGTTTCGGTCAACTTCTATGATGTGTCACTAAAAATCTGCCGTTTCATAAAAGTGCTGCCATAACATTGAAGCATGAGCTTACCTGAAACAAAATGACAATATCTATAAAAAAACAAACAGAAACGGTCCCCCAGCGCCTTACAATGTTTCAGCAGGGAGTCACGACCACTGCCTTATTTTGTTGCAGATGTTTGTCATCGTCAAAAGGTTTTTTTTTCTTTTATTCAATGCTGGTGGTCAGTCTAAGTGTTGATCGATATTTTTTTAACATTAAAATATATATTTTAAAAGGCTTCGCAAACTACTTTGCAGTATTCTCGAATGCATTGTGTTGTACAGAAAATATTGTTCTGCAGTGGTGACTCTTTTTTTTTGTTAGATCTTTGATTGGATAAAGTTTTTGTTTCAATATCTACAAATCTACAGAGAATGAATATAACTTCCACCAATAATATAATTTAGAGATTGAAATTCAACGCTTCTGCTGTAATATCTCACACTTTTTTAATATCTAACATTCCTCGTCTTTCCGTGCGTCTCCTTCAGGCTCTACCCCTCCCTCTCTCACTCCTCCTTCGCTCCCTCTCTCTCTCTCTCTTTCTCTCTCTCTCTCTCTCTCTCTCTCTCGCGGAATCCTATTGATCCAAACGGGCTAATTAGCGGTGTCTGCGCAATTACGCACATGCGCACTGCACGTAATCTCAGCCATTTTTTGAAGGAAACTAATTAGCAGGAATAAAGAGCCAAGTGTTTTTCCTCCCACAGTGATCAGAACTCATTCTACCTCTGGAGCTCGCACAAACCCCTCCGTCCCCATCTCCTGTTTACTACAGCTTATATGTAGCTTTAATTACACAGTTGTTTGGTAACAACTTGGACCCCGCTGCTCCCTCTCCCTTTTCCCCCACTGGCTTCCTGGCTCCGTGAAAACGCAGAGGATCATTCATAAGGAATGAGTGGACTCTCCAACCGATTGTTTTTCGGGACTACTACATTTTCAGCGTGCGGAGCTTTGTACCAGAGTCGCTGCAGAAATGTAAGTGTGTCATTTGTTTACGGTATTACGGGGAAGTGAAGGGAGCCGAGACGGCGCTGGGGAGGAGGACCGGGTGTTTGGTCAGCCAGCTTGTAATTCCCTCAAATCGAGCTTTTGTTGATCTCTCTGTACGTCGAGTCACCTGTTACTGGCTGCTGGACGCGATCGCTCTCGGTTTAGTTGCGTTTTGGACAGAAAAAAGGTGGCTAAGGATACTGTAAACAAAGGCAGAAGTAGGCGAGTCAGACGGTTGGTCAGTGCCTTGACAACCCAGAGACGGGGAGTGAACTATTCAGGCAACTGTCTGTCCAGTTTCTCTCAAACAGCCCAGCCACGATGGTCCCAGCAAATGCAGGAAGCGATTAAGTGCTCTTACCTCCAGACTTGTGAGGAGCTGAATAAGGTCCGCTTTGTGCCCAGGCTAAAGAAAAAAGTCCTGTCCCAGCTATTTGTCCGTGTCCTATAAAAGCAAAACAAAAGGCATTTTCCCAAAGTATAGCCACACAACTCTTCAGTCCCTCTTATTCCCCCTCACACTCCTGCCTCTCCTTTTCTCTCCTAACACACGCACACGTTTGCAGACACACGCGCACACACACACACACACTTCAATCTGGAAACGGGTTTATGTTTTTGTTGATATTTACACATACGTTTTCATAACATTTTCAATGTGTATGTCAACCTGTACCACACAATATGATTTGCCTTCATTTTCTTTTAACAGAAAACGAAAACGAACAAAATATGGCCAGCAATATTTAACACAAGGTGTTTCGTGCGCGAGCGTAATTGACACAATCAGAATCGGTTCAACCTGACGATACATGCGCATTAACGCACACACACATTGTTAAATGATGGTTTCCCGCACTTGTGATCGATAGAGAGCCAGGAATGCTTGTATAAATAGTTACATTGCCGATAGACTCGCATTATTGATTGCAGTGTAAATGAAAATCTTTATCAGATAAGAGGCTGTTCTCAGCTGCTGGCAGGCCGGCTCGGCCCCTCAGCACTCTTTAGCAGGACAGTGGACAGCTGCAGTGGCCAAGGGTCTGCGGCCTGTGACATAAGCACAGTACATTAAAGCACTATCAGAGTGCCGATATGAGCTATATATCTTCAAGCTGCAGAGGTGGGGGGAGGGGGTGGCTACTGGAGGGAGGCACTGGGACTTGGGGTGTTTTAAGGAGGAGGTAGAGGGGGTTGGTTGGTTGAAACAGAAGGTGAAAGGGTAGATTAAGGTCTCTCCTTGATTAGAAAAAAAAGGTCAGTAATGAGATTGTGGGACACACACAGACCAGCAGAAATGTATCTGTGGCCAAATGGCTTTCACCTGTCAGTCAGACGCAGAGGAGGGGAGAGGCTCATTTAAAGTGCATTGTTGTTATTTTTGCTGCAAAATGTATGTGGCAATTTGTAATTGTTCAAATTGGAAATGTGAACTATTATATTGAAACATGATGTGGAATTTATTAGCCATGTGCTCATTGTAATTATATCAGGGCCAAGGCAAGGTCTGAAAAAAGATCTGATTATTTTTTCCTTGTGATTATTGTTCTTTGGATGTTTTGTTGATCTGGATCTTAAGTGCAGAAATTAAATGCAAGGACTTGATTTTTACTGTGAATGTATACTGTTAACGTGCATAGGTTTGTTTATAAGAAATAACCAATTAGGAGGGGGACAGACACAATGTTCAAAGCAGAATGTACAGAAAATAAAATGTAACGTACAGCACAAATGGAAATTGCTTAAAAAATTAACAGAATACAAATTTTATAACCTACAATTTTTAATAACCTTAAATTATTAGGTATGGTCTGCATGGGTTTTTATTGTACATGGTATTTACTGCATGCTTTTACAAGAAATGTGCTCCACTCACATCGATGAAAGATTCTTGGACTAAACGGTGATCCTGTTGCCTTGTAAAACCTCCTCAGTAATGTATGGCAAAAGTCTTTTAATCTTTTATCTTTGTGTGGCAATTTAGTGGAAGCCCTTTAGCTCAGAAGCGTTCAGTTCTTTATTTAATCCTGTCCCCAGAGGAATATTACAGACCTCCTGCGTAGCCTTTACTCGCATTCCTTTACCCAGTTTAGCCCTCATGCCATTGATTTTCCCATTAAGGGCTAAAGCTAACCCCTGGGTAACCAGCCTTTGGATTGTGCACTGTTTAGGCTGTATCGAACAGATGCCATCTAGGGACTTTAATCAATGCCTCCAGTGTTATGCAATATTATTTACATGACTCATGTATTTCCTCTCTTTTTCCTCTCTGTCTGTCTCTGTCCCAACATACAGGTGGGCTGGTAATGTGTGGCAGCTGTAGCCTCTGGTATGGACAGTGGTGAGGGAGGAGGAGGGGATGGAGGGGGAGGAGAGGAGAGAGATGCTGACCTCAGTCTCCAAGCTTTATCTCTTCCTCTCCTGACCCTGGCGGTCATTCCTGAGCAGGGGTCATCCTCTCATACCTCAGCCATGGCCCCTGCCAAAGAGCCCCTGACCCTGCCTCAGCAGGGGGAGGAGGGGGCAGAGGGGTCCCAGGCTAGAGAGGGAGGTGAGCAGAAAGGAGGAGGCCAGCATTCACAGGAGGAGGGAGCGTGCCTAAAGCACAGGCTGAGGGAAAACTTTGGGGAAGGATATTTGTCAGGGCAAGGGAAAGAAGAAGGGGAGGCGCATGGAGGTGTGGGAGAGGCATCAGTCACAGGGGCCCCGCCAGAGGCCCTAAGCTGCAGAGGTGGAGAGGAGGAGGAGAAGGAAGAGGAGGAGGCCATCTCAAACCAAAGCCAAACCAAATCCAAATGTTCTTTATTACCTCAACAGAGCCGGCACAGCTCTTCTTCCAGCACTGCAAAGGCCAGTGGCACACTCGACAGCAAAGCGGCCGCCTCTCCAAAGCCCTCCCACCCGCCTTCCCCCTCCACGCAGCCCTTCCCTTTCCCCCCCATATCTCCAAAGCACTTCAGTTGTCCGTCCTCCTCTTCCGCCCTGCTGAGCGAGACAGAGGTAAAAGACATTAAGGGAGATCAGGGCTGGATTTCTGGGTTTCCTCAGAGCTTTAGATCCCAGCAGTCCTCCTTTCCTTTTCCACTGGTGGGTACGGAGCCTGTCAGTACACCTGCTGAGGAAGATGTGCTGGCAGGGGTTCCTCACTCTTCCATTTCCACTGGAAATGGTGCCAAAGCTCCAGAACCAAATGACAGTCCACAAGAAACAGAGATGGATGACGAGAAAGACAAAGATGGGGAACAAAAAGAAGCTGTCCTTAAAAACCTCAACCAAGACCTCTCTCCTGGCTCGCTGACCAGTCACATGACCATAATGCACTCACGGAATTCCTGCAAGACTCTGAAATGCCCCAAGTGTAACTGGCACTATAAGTCTCAGCACACACTGCAGGTCCACATGAAGGAGAAACATCCGGAGACGGGAGGCCAGTGTGTGTGCGGCGTTTCCGGGGGGAAATGTGTGTGTGGCGGTGCAACTCGAGGTGTGTGTGGGTACTGCAGTTCCGGGAAAGCCCATCCTCGCTTGGCCCGAGGAGAAACCTATGCCTGTGGCTACAAGCCCTACCGCTGTGAGGTGTGTGACTATGCTACCTCGTCGAAAGGCAACCTCAGCATACACATGCAGTCGGATAAGCATCTTAACAACGTTCAGAACGGGGGACACACAAACGGTCACCTGCAGACCCCTCACATCAGCAACAGCAGCTCCTCCAACCCGGTGGACGAGCCACCGTACAGCAAGCTCCCGCTCTCTGTCCCCTCACCCACCGCCCCGCCCGCCAAACTCGCACCGCCCACACACTCCTACTCTCATGGTAAGAGGTGGCGTTGTGACGTGTGCGACTACGAGACCAGCATTGCCCGCAACCTGCGCATACACACCACCAGCGAGAAACACACACACAACATGCTGCGGCTCCAGAGAGGCTACTATCTGTCTCACTGCAGGAGTCTTGCCCCTCATCTGAAACAGCTCCAGAACACAGGTGAGCAGTATATCACGTCAACCGTCTTGTCAGAATTGAGCGCACTAATGCTGAAACTGTGTAAACTCTTGCCGATGGCTTTTGTCTGTTTTAGGGGCCGAGCTTTCCTTGAACATGCGACTGACAAGTCAGCATGTTTCAGATCAGCCAGTCACCCTTGGGTCTACACTGACGCCGTCACCCTCCCCTTCCCCCTCCCCTCCACCAGCACCATCTCTGTCCCCCACTGTGCCCCTCTCCCAGGGTGTATTCCAATGCCTTGTCTGCTCCTGCTTCTCGTCTGACAGCTTAGAGTCGGTGGAGCAGCACCTGAACGCTCCTCGCTCCTTACCCCAGTCTGAGTGGTGCTCTCTTGTTGCTGGTGGCTGCCATTGCAGGCTGTGTGGATACACCACCCCGCTGAGGGCTAACTTCTCCTTGCACTGCCAGACCGACAGACACCGCACCCGCTACCAGCTTGCTGCTCACCTCCAGGAAGGAGGAGACAGGGGTCAGGAAGGGGCCGCTCTCATTGCTAAGGGCAACCCCGTTCAGCTGAGGTGCAACCTGTGTGACTATGTGACCAGCAGTTTGGAGAAGTTACAGGGGCATTCCCTCAGTTCACATCATGAGGCGAGCATCCGGGTTTACAGAGTGAGAAACTAAGCCTATCTTTATCAAAATCTACACAAAAAACCCCTGTGCCAGTGTACCTTTATGTAACAATTGCAGAAACTAATCTACTTTCTTTCCCTTTGTTCTTATTTTTAAGTTCCTGCAGCAGTACGATGGAGAGGTTGATGGAGGCTCGTGGCTGTTCCACTGTCTTCTATGCAACCACTCCTCCTCTTCTAAACTGCAAGTACTAAAACACAGTCAAACGTCAGCCCATCAGCAGAGGGAAGGGCTACTGCAGCTTCAGCCAATGGGTGGAGAGGAGCTGGCAGCCATTTTTACCATTAGGAAAAGCTCTGGTGGTGTCACAGGTGCGAAGCTGAAATGATTTCTTCAGTGTACTTAACTGTGTTGCATGTGGCTGCTGAAAGCAGAGTGCAGACAGAGGATTAAGATGAAAAGAGTAAGAAAATGAGCAATGGCTGTAGCTGAGATATTGATCAAGCAAAGTGATTAGTCGATACGTATCTTTGTTATATACCCAATCAACCCTGACAACAGCTAACTAGCACCTGCTAATCAATGAGCCAATACAAATTCCCTTGAACAACTGTGGGAGGTGGTGTGCAGTCATTACAGGCTTTGCGGGATAAAACAAAGTTGGTATTTTATGGAGTGTGTAAACCAGCTAACACCTAAAATTAGTAGTTCAACGCTTCATATGTAAATAAATCTATCTTGTGATTTGCTTGAGTTTAAATCAAGACTTATGAAGCTAACTCGTGTGTTCTAAGCCCATATTACATCTACTCCACCTCTAAGGAGAATTTAATGCAGAATCAATGTGATCCATAATGTATGTAGGAAAGCAAGAGCAATGAAGTGTGTTTAAACACACTGGTATTTTGGAACTCTGGTATCTAAAGAATTATATGAATTACAATGAACTTGATTGTTTATTAGATCATACTGTAAAAAGGACTGTGTTTGCTGACCGTAATTATAAATCTTTTCCCCTCCTAGGAGAACCTGTTGAGGAAATGGAGACTTCCAGTGAGACCAGCACTGGTCTTCTGGACACAACCAAAGACAAAAGTAACATGGGGACAAAGAAAGTAGCCGAAGAGACGGGTATTGCAGATTGCTTGCACAAATGACAATATACAGTGAACTCAAATAATTGTTTTACAAAATATTATTCAGTAAATATTATATATATGTTTATATAATGTTCATGGTCCTTTTTTCATTTGAAGAAAAAGCAAAAAGAGATGAAAGAGAAAAAAGGGAGTCAATGCTCCCAGTCAAACGTCCATCCTCTGGATGTGGGGAAATGGAAAACTCCATATCAACCAAACGCCCCAGAACACACCAGCAAAATGAGAACCAGCAGGTAGGCAGCCTTTACACATTTTTAATCATCAAAGCGTGTTCGCGTGGATGTGAAAAAATGAATAAATGGAATGATTTTCTTTATATGATCTCACAAACCCATGTACGTTTGTTCTCTGTCAGTTTACTTATCATTTTTACCTCTTTTCCCTCTTTTAGACTGTCCAGTGCCCTTTGTGCCAGGTGAAACTCTCACACACCCACCTTCGACAGCATCTCACACATGTGCACAGTGTGGCACAGGACTGTGTAGACAAGCTCATCAGTGCAGTAAGTGTATTTGTTGTATTTGTATTTTGTCAGGAAGTAAAAGAAAATGAGAAGTCAAAGCAATGGGGGATGGGGGAGAATGAAATGTAGGGAGACAATTCCATTAAGAAGGCACCAGAGAGAAAGGCAGCGTTTTTTTAATGCATGTTTAAGTAGCTCCTCGCTATCATCTTTGATGCAGCCGTGCAAATCTGTGTGTATGTGTATGAGCGTCTTTTAGAGTGGAAGAGAGAGGGTTTGACTGAGTGAGTGAGGGAAAAGCCAGTCTTTCTATAATGCATGTTTAAGTAGCCCTCTATTACCAGAAGTGCAGTCAAGCTAAAAAGGGGCCCCCATGCTTTTTACTGTGTCTCTCCAACTAACAATGACCGGTCATCTATCCACATCACCATCCTCCAGCTCCCTGGCTTGTATGCTAAGTGGCCTTTGTCTCTTGCTCTCTACCCTCTACTTCACTGACTGCTTTTCACCCTTTCTCCCCTCTGCTGTCCCTTCCTCCCCCCCTCTAGCTGGTCCAATCACTCCTGTTCTGCAATATCTGTCCGGCCCCTTCCCTTCTGTCTCTTCCAAGCTCTCTCTCAATTTCTTATGCGTTATCCCTCCCTCGCTCGGTCTTTCTCCAGAACATTTTTTTTGTCCATTGCGCCGTACTTCCTCCTCTTCCTGTTCTATCTCTTTTTCATATTCTGTACCCCTTATCCCCTATCCTCCCCCCGTTCCAGGCTCCCCCTCCCTGACTCTCTCTGATAGTAATTGAGGTTCATTAATTCAGACTGAGGTGATGATGGCCATTATGTACCTTGCTTTCCAATTACGCTCTCTAGATTAAGTCTGACCTTCAGTTTTCTCTGCAGTGTGTATGTGTGCTTGTTCTTCCCTTTTGCTCCTATGAAGCTTATGAAGCTGTTATGCAGAGAAAACTCTTGTCATGTAAATCTCATCTTCTGCTCTCTGTCCTTTCCTTAGGGTGGCTCACCGTTTGCATAGATATACTATTTGCTCTTATTGCTTGAAGCTGTGGGGATGAGGTTTCCTATATTAAGAATGATTTTAAATAAATTCATTATTCAGCTTAGTAAAGTTTTATTAAACCCTTGGGGCATGGTGGAGGGTGTAGTAGGAACCGAAGGGCAGACCGACATATCTCAGCCATGTGTTCTTATTAACAAACTGATGTGCCTTGCTGCCTGTACTGTTTTGCTGGCAGGTGCAAGATGTAACAATAGACTTGAATGTTTTATGATATCAGTACAGTAAAAGCAGGCACGGTGTCTTTATATTTACATCTTTTTAACTGTACGATTAAACATGTTTTATTCATAATGTTAGGCTAAGGAAGCATGCTAATATCCATTTTTCAAACTGGTGAAACAACACAGGGTTGGAACAGAAAGCAGGAAAGAACAAAACTAACAGACTGGAGCATTTTGTCTCTTTCAGGTCACACCATCCAAGGAACAACAGCAGCCTCCAACTGAATCGGAGCTACAGACAGACTTGCTTACTGATGATGTTAAAAAAACTAATATTATAGAGAATACCAATGCAAACTGCTCCAATGCTGAAAATTGCAATGCCTCGACAGAGTCACAGACAAACAAAGGTTGGTGAGAAAAGCAAGATAAACTGACCCGTATTTACAATCAAATTAAAAAACTATCAAGCTTCTGTTAATGCAAAAGTCATTTTATTCTCTCTAATACAATTTTGGGGCCTTTTGCAGTCATTTCAGTGGAGAACACCGAGGGAGACATAACCGCACCCAAAGATGTCACATCTCTTCTCACCCCACCCCTAGAAGACAACACCATTCACCCCTCCAATGGCACACTGGCTCCACAATCCCCAACTCAAATTCCCCCCTCCTCCCCGCCCACCTCCCCACCCAGTGACCCCCCTCCCCTCTCTGATCGTCATGGTTACCGGTTCCGTTGCAGCAGGTGCAGCTTGGCGTTTCCTACTCAGGAGAAGCTGCAGTTACATTGGCAGTACCATGCCATGAGGGCGGCGACAGAGTGCCCTTTATGTTCCAGACAATGCCGCAGTCAAGAGGCCTTGCAGAGACACATGCAGAACACACACTCACAGCAGGACGGCACACAGGGGCAGATTACACTGTTTCTGCCTAACACCGTACAATGCATGGATCATAACAAGAATTCGGTTCAGCAAGAATTTAGCTTATCACCTCAGGTGGGTCAAGAAGCTGGAGAGGGTGATGATGAAGATATAGATGATGAAACTTTAGACATGGAAGAGTGTGAGGAACAGAAAGAAAATTATTTGAAAGACAAGGAAGAGGTTTCTGAAGTTGATGGAGAAGAGGAGGCTGTAAATGAGCAAGAGAAAGGTGCTCATGAAGAGATTGCATCAGAACCTAGTTCCAGCTCCCTTGTCAAAAAGAGCTTAAACCCCACAATGGACCGTTATCTTGATCCATCAAGGCCTTACAAATGTACCATATGCTCAGAATCCTTTACTCAGAAAACAATTCTTCTGGTCCACTATAATTCTGTTTCCCATCTCCATCGTGCCAGAAGAGCCCTGCAAGACTCTGGTGCAAATGTAACAGCCCAGGAGACACCGCGTGCCCAAGATCCTAGACCCTATCGCTGCCGATTATGTGGAGTTGGTTACAGCCAGAGCTCTACACTGGACATCCATCTTCGCTCTGTTCTTCATCAGACTAGAGCTCGAGCTGCCCAAAACTCAGCTCCACAGACCTCAGCAGCTACTGTAGTTGCTCCAGTTTCTGTCCACGCAGCTGCTGTCCAGGCTCCTACCACAAAAGAGGCCACCAAGAAGCCAAATGGAGTAGGCTTTTCAGCCACTTCATTGGTTGGCACAGGTTTGTTAGCTGACTCCCAGCCAACCCTCCCTGACTCAATAGACAGTCAGCAAGCTAAAAAGAGAGTGGCAGAGCTTTTAGCATCAAGAAATCAGCTAATGCTAATACAACAGCAGCAGCTAGCTCAGGCACAGGTTCAGGCTCAACTGCAGCAACAGACAGCACTACTCCAGTCCCAAGCCATACAGCACCTTTCTTTAGGGACAGAAAATCTCCTTAAACAACACTTCTCCCTATTGCCAGACAACTTGCTCTCTCTACAGCAGCAACTTTTCTTGCCATTTTACTTGTCGGGAGACATGAAGCTGAATTCTGAGTTAACTGTTAAAAGCCCCAATCTTGGTCAGTCAATATCTACCAACTCCTTTCCCAAAGACCAGAATAAGGCAGAAGCAAAGAGAGAGTTCCTCACAGATGACAAGCAAATCCAGAAGCAAAGTTCAAATTCAGTTTTTTGGCAACCACCTGGTCATTCACAAAGCGAAGCCAAGGTTGAAACAGTCTGTAGTGGATCTTCCAACAAGCAGATGGACATTGAGCCCAGCACTTCTGGTCTTGTGCATGAAAAAGAAGAAATGCATGTTCACACTGTTAAAACTGAGAGTCAGAAAGAGGACACAGTTTCTTCCTCATTTAATGTCCTTGAATCCCAGTGTCCTCCTCCCAGAGTGCCGTATGCTGCTGCTAATGGGGAGCCTCTTAGAGCTCTGCTGCAGAGTTATGGCTATGAGTTGGCCATGCAATATATACAGAGTCGACACAGACATCAACAGCAGAAAGCAATGCAAATGATACCATCTAATAATACTGGCAGTACAGAAATATGTCCAGAGAAAGAAAAAGATGAGTCTAATCAACTTCAGATCAAAAAGTTGGAAGAGTGTGACAGCATTGATAAAAGAGTTGAAAGTGATGACGCAGTGGGAAAAAAACACTGTAAAGAAGAAACATCAATGCTTAAAGAGAAAATATGCTGTGAAATGGGAGAAAAGTGTAAAAATTGTGGCAAGTTTTTTTCAGATGCCTTGATTTTAAAAAGCCACCAAGAGTATATTCACAGCATGACGTTTCCAACTGCTGCACTGGAGATATTTTCCAGAGAATACAGGCTTCAGTACGACCAGATGTACCCACTTGGACAGCATAAATCTGGGGAGAATTCAACTCAAGCTTCAGCACCAAACTCAGGCATATGCACAGAACCAGAACCCAAAACTGAGCTGGTTAAGCCACAAGCAAAAACTCCTGAGTCCTCACCTGTGTTGTCGGTTTCAGATCCCACGACTAAAGAAAACGCTACAGCTAAAGACCTGACAAAACCTGCGCCTACAGCTTCATCTCCATCTTCCCCTTCTCAAACACAAGACTCTCAACAGCACGATGAAACCATCCCTGGCACATCTGCTACATCTACTACTCAAACTACAACGCCCATACCTCTTCCCTTGCCTAAAATACCTATGCTTCCTTTATCCCTGTCTCAGCTTCCCATACCCCCACTACCTATACCTAAGCTTCCACTTCCACCAATTTCCTTTCCAATGGAGGTACCACTCCTTCCTCCAGTGGTAATGCAGTCTATGGCTCTCCAAACCCAACCTTGGTTGGATTCAAGTGTGAATCCTGATGTGGCCAAACTATATCAATCTCAACTTAACTCAGCAGTACTTGGGCAGCAGTCACAATTGAATCCAGCTTTGCTAGCTCAGCAATCACAGCTCAGCCCAGCTTTGTTGGGTCAGCCACCACAAATTAGTCCTGCTTTGCTGGGTCAACCATCTCAGCCCAGCCCCATCCAGACAGGACAACAAAGCCAAGTCAGCCCAACCACAACTGAACAACAGGGCAAGAGAACCCGAACAAGAATCTCTGAAGACCAACTCTCTGTTTTAAGAAAACACTTTGATATTAACAGTCTTCCCAGTGATGAAGAGATCAACAAGATGTCTGCTTTGTCTGGTCTGCCACACAAAGTAATTAAACACTGGTTCCGTAATACTCTATTTAAAGAGCGCCAGCGAGATAAGGATTCCCCATACAATTTTAATAACCCTCCAACTACAGCCCTGGAAGAATCCAGAGAGGAACTAGCACAAAACTTATGTGTGACACATTCCCCATGTTCACTATCCCCAGGCCTGTCAATCAACACCTCCCCACAAACTTCAGACCTGCATAGAGGAGAAGCCCAAAGGGGCAGACGGTCTTCACGAACCCGTTTTACAGAACAACAGCTGGAGACACTGCAGGGGGTGTTTGAGGCTACTCCTTACCCTAGAGAGGAAGAATATGACAGGCTGTCTGCCCTATTGTCTCTCCCTAACAGAGTCATAGTTGTATGGTTCCAAAATGCAAGGCAAAGAGCCCGCAAAAATCAAGATAGGGGAACAGATGATGGATTAGAGGGGAAGAACCAGCCTGATAACAGCCACAGTCAGAAAAACGGCTGTTTTAACAATGATGCCAACAAAAAAGATAACGGCTATCGGGATGAAGGACAAGATGACTCTCAGAATGAAAATTCAATGGATTTCACTTATGAGTATTACAATCTCCCAGATTCACCTGTGGTCGATTCTTCCACTCACAGCTCGGAGGGTGAGCATCTAACAACTGAAGGTGAACAAATAGTCACTGTAGTGAATAAAGAAGATAAAACAATATCTATTCACGCAAATATGAGCCCACCTCCTGTTAACACTCCAAACAGAATTTCAGATGCAGAGATTCAAAAGAAGGAAATTGCTCCAGTAATGAAAACAGGATCAAGTCCACAACCTGATCCTAAGCTTCCATCTGAAAGTCCTACAGAAAGGCCTCAGCCTCTTGCAACATCCTTCTCTGAAAAGACAATACAGCCCAACATGTCTATGTCTCACTTGGACCAAGGGAATACACAAAGTCCACCTTATGATCAGGCACTTGAAAAGACTGTCAGTACATCACCCACTCCTCCCTCTGCTCCAGATACTGAACCAAGCCACAATCGCATGCTTGATACCACAGCTTGCCTCTCTACTGAAACTCAACCTCATCTTCAGTCCCAGGCTCAGTTCCAGTGTAGCCTCTGCCCAGTATCCTTACCGTCAATTCAGGCATGGCAAGAACATCAGACCAGGCACCTCCTGGCAGCTCAGTCCCAGGTACAGTTCCTGCAGTCTGGATTTGCTGACCGAACTATGCCTTACATGATGCTTCATCCCAACCACAGTTTAATGGCCAGCCAAATGCTTTCAGGGGCTATGTCCCAGATGCACCCTAATCCCACACATTCTATGATTTCACACTTGAACAGCCTACAAATTAAGAACACATTCTCTGATCACCCAGGTAACACTCTTAATAGTTCCATGACATCTTTAAAGCATAACACAAAACATATCTCAGAGACCAGTTTTGAAAGCCAAAGGGGGAATAGGGAGGTTGAAGAGGAGCACAGGAGAGATAAACGCCAGAGAACCACCATCACCCCAGAACAGCTTGAAGTATTATACCAGCGCTACAGTTTGGACTCTAACCCTACCAGGGGAGTCCTCGAAAGCATTGCACGAGATGTGGGCCTCACAAGACGTGTAGTTCAGGTACGTTTTACAAGACAAGATCATATCATTCAATTTTACTGGGTCTATTGAATTTTACAACACATATTTGTTTTCCAGGTCTGGTTTCAGAATACACGCGCAAGAGAGCGAAAAGGGCAGTTCCGGTCAATGGGGCCAGGATCCAGTTTTACCTTGGGCTTGAACCACCTGCGTTGTCCATTCTGCAGGGCCCTCTTCAAGGTCAAGAGTGCTCTTGATGCCCATCTGAGATCACGTCATTGGGCTGAAGCTGAAAGAGCTGGTTACAACCTCTCGATAGGTAATGGATACAGCGGGCAAGCTGGGTTGGCTAGGTCATTTGTCACGGAGGGACCAGGTCCATCCGTGTCCTCCAACCAAACCCCAAACCCTGGCTTTGACAACACAAAGAAAGAGTTGACCATGAAGCAACCTTTAAGTTCCTTGTCTTCGACCACAAATATAAGTAACCTAGAGGATGATGATGACTATGAGGAGGATGATGAAGATTACCCATGTGAGGATAACTCCTCTATGGCTGACCAAGATTCTCCAAGTCCTGAAGGATCTGGGGGCCAAAGCGCAGACTGGGGCGAGACACAAACTCAACAGCAGCACCATCACCATCAGCAGCGTCAAAGGACACAGATGAGTCACTTCCAAGTACTCCAGCTCAAAGCGTATTACAGGAACCACCGAACACCTAACCGCCTTGAGTGTGAGACACTGGGGCAGGAGCTGGGACTGCCTCACCGTGTGGTGCAGGTAATTGCTCGAACAATTAAAGTATATAAACAAAGCTCTTCAAGGGCAGTATATGATATTTATTAATGTAAATATTTTTTTTGCAGGTGTGGTTCCAGAATGCCAGAGCTAAGGAGAAGAGAGCTAAGAGCCTGAGCTCTGAGTCTGCGGAGAGGGAGCAAGCTGAACTGTCAGCAGGTGCAGGGGAGAGAGACAGAGCTTAGAAAGGCAGACTGCTTCCTTTGAGTATGCTTTCACCAAAATCCCTCCAGCAACTGCTGTCTGACTCCACACATATCCTGTCCACTTGCTGCCAAACCCGTAACTTAAACACCCCAAAGATGCAGAGCCGCAGAGGCCCAAAGAAAAACTCTCAAGAGTAGGAGAGAGCCCAAACCAAGTCCTCTTTACTGCAGTTCTCCTCTTTTCATATAGTTTTTAAACACCTTCCTGGTCTGTCTTTTCTTGTTGAAACTAGCTCCTCTCCGTATTCCGTTGGACACCATCCTACAACCAAACACCATCTTGATTAAAACCAACCAGAGTCCACAGAGGCCAAAGACCATTCTCCAGTATGTGACCTCACTGCCCAGCTAGACCTGCAGTCTACCTCTAAGTCTGCATGACAGACCCACAGTGGGCCCTCCACCAGACAGTGCTAGATGACTAGCTGTGTAGCATGTAGTGCCAGACTCTACGAGGCTGGAAAATGAAATGTCAAAGAGATTTTAGAGTGTAAATAGAGACCTCCAAAAAAAAAAAACTTGAAGAAAAACAAAGCAGTTAACCATGGAAGAAGGAGAAATGGAATAATATCCTTGAAATACACAAGGGTATTTGCATAGAGCTTTTGTAAAGACTGACTCAGATTCCAAAGCTCATAACCAAAATTTTACATGTCTGTGGATTTAGTTTGAACGCGTTTGTTTTTCAAAAACAAGCTACAGAGCTGACGTCTGTATGGTGAAGGGGTGAGATCTGCACCTGGCATACGCAAGCCGAGTTCAAATAGACTGACGCTGTGCTAGAATGCAGTTTCATCCCCCAAAAGCCAATGATGAGTCTTCTGTTGTACATGTACTCCTTGTATGTTCCGTTAGTGGATAACAGCCCAAATAGCACAGTACATAAAGGTCGGTTTGCCCTAAAAGGGGTAAACTATTTTTTATAGCACCATTATACTGTAAATGGAAACTTTAACCAAACTCAAATTTACATTGTGTGTGTTTAGTATTAGTTTCTTAATATAAATCTTATGGATTGACATAAACTGTCTTGCTTCAATATAATAGTGTCATGATGATGAAAAAATTATGACAGCTTTCTTATGTTCAGGCAAGGTCACTTACTGCCTTTCCATTCTATTTGAATATACCAATGGCTTACCAATGTTATGTGATTAATGTAAAGCTTTCTATGCTCAGGTCAACAGCTCAAAATGGCTCTACTTCAAATGTGATCTTAATATTCTACTCTTCTGTTTTTAAAACATAAGAGGCCTGGTTAAAACATGGACAAAGTATTACATAAAATCTACACAAACATCTCTGTATTTCAAAGATCTGAGCTATTCACCTCTGAGTAATAGATTGTTACAAAAAACCTTATTGAAACTAAAGTGTTTAATAGTGTGAGGGGTAAATGTACAGTATTTAGCTTTTGTATGGTTGACTCAAGACTTCATTGGATGTTTGAGATAAGACTCTCTTCCACATAAAGAGAGCTTCTCCACAAAGTTGAGGAAAAACTTTGGATGTTATCAATGTTATTTTTGTACACTTAATTTATTTTCCTTCCTTCTCCTTCCCAGCCTACTTTCTACTTTTTCTCTCTACCCTTCTTTCACTGTTAATTTACAACCAGTCTTTATTCTACCTGTGATAATTATAATATAACAATAATAGCTAAACAATAATTAATGCTTTAAGACAAAAATCCAAAGACATGAAAGTACTTTAACCACATGACCTACAAAAATAAGCGCTACTGTTTACTTGACGATGTATTGCTGTTTTTAAAGAAGGAAGGAGTCCCTGTATCTAAGCTACTGTTTTCTGCCTCTCATAAGCACACTGGAGACTGTAACCAAAACCCCAAACTAGAGCCATGGCAGTCTGTAATATAGCGGTTGAAGAGTTTTACTTCTCTTGAGAGATGTTGCATTTTATTTTTCTTTTATACCATAGTGTTGAACTTCAGCCCTTAAGGATGTCCAGTTTGCTGCTAATGTACTGTAGTTTCTAACGATATTGTAGAAAGATGCATGCTCTGATCGCTTTACCACTAGGCTTTAATGACTACAAACTGTAATGGTACCTGTGATGCTGTTGATAAACTGCTCCTCTGTTAGTCTGTTAAAAACTAATGGATATGTGGGGCTCAATTCCATCAAGTTTGTCTTTCCGTATCCTATTTCCTCTCACTCAGATGAAGAAATGGCTTTCATAATATCCAAAATATTATTTCAATCTTCCATTTTCAATGAAACTCATCTGTGCATTAACTCTAATGCTTATGGAGATACTGCATAGTTATTTGAAGGAGTTCAGCCCCGAACCTTCCATTAGCACGGTGTCTTTCTGTGTTGCAATGTCTGCAGTGCAGCTAAAACAGCTTTGCTTAACTCAGACTGACACCACAGCCAAGTTTCCAAAGGATGTGGACTGACTAACTGTCATGTTTTTGTTCTTAAACTAACCAATGTTTACGACAATACCAATGAGCTTTCTTCTGTACAGAAATGTGCATTCCAAATACCACAAAGGCAGTTTTTTGTATGCTGATCATTTCAAATTGATTTCTCTTGTATTCTGTTGATCTTAGTGACTGTAAGATGTACATATTGGAGTCCTCCATGGTGAAGAGACTCTGTTATCCTTACTGTAGGTAAATTTTTCTTTCTGGATATGTTGTTGCCATAGTGATGACCAAAAAGATACCTGTGATGTGCACCTGTCCTTATGTCCTGCTCCAGTGGTTTAGTGTGTCTCTATACTCTCCCACCCACAGTTTACCCTGCTGGTGTGTGTTTCTCCTCTTTCCCTTCCCATACTCCACTGAGCTAAATAAAGTCTGCTTTGGTGCACGCTTCAGTCTCATCCCTTTGGTCTAACTTTGAACCAGTTTTGTGGAAGCTGTGCTTTGTGAGGATGCCTGCCTCTCACGTGTGCTTAATATTTGTTGGTTGCATGTTCGGTGGCTGTGTGCATCTGGCTAGAAGACTTTTGGTGTGCAATCGTGTATGCGTAACACGGCAGAGTGTGGAAGCCGTTTGGTGAATGGAACCATGACCTCTCGGGTCACTTCATTAATTACATCTGTGACATTCAGCCAGATGAGTTTCCTTTGTGACTAAATGATATGATGAATATTAACGACATCGGATGAATTACACTGCTGCTCCTGCTGCTGCTGATGATGATAATGTGTTTTACGACTCTGGAAGAGAGGAGAGGAAAATTGCACACTACAGCACATTTAGGACACACTGATATTCATATGCGACATTTCAAAGACCAGAGCTAAGGTCGGTGGAGAAGATTTTATTATTTTGTTCTTTTCTTATGCAAAACTTCCCAGAAGTTGATTAGGCAACCTGTCAAAAAGGTAAATCTAAAAAAGAACACATTCTTTCGGATTAGCTGTCGCTGGTGTCTGCCTCTTGCTCGTTTGAGCAAACCATTCAAAGGGAATTGTAACCATGAAACTTATGATCTGATGTTTGTCGCGATGAAAAGCCAAACAGATACGCCAGGAAAACAATAGCAAAGTAAACACAGAAGGGGGCTTAAGATAGCCTCGTATCTTGTGATAGCCATCTTAGAAAGTCATCGTGATAAAGTGATCCCCCACCATTTCTCCTTCTCTCTGTCCTCCCCCTTTTAATCAAATGAGTACTGTGCAGCTGGTGGGGTTGCGGCAAAAAGGGGTACGGGTGTGTGTGTGTATGGAGAGTAGGTGGAGGGGGGCTTTGAGGGATGGCGTGAAATTATTGCCTGCTGGTGTATATGTGTCGCTGGGGGTAGTAGAGTAGGGGGGGTTGGGCTGTGGCTGGGGAGGGGTGTAATGTCATTGCCTGCTGGTGTATCTGTAGTGGGGGCTCATTTAGATTTAGATTGGTTATGTGAGGAGAGAGCTTGAAAGGCCAGCTCATGTTTATGCATGAATCCCAAAGCATGCTGCTGTGGTGGAGCCCTCAGTTAAAGAGACAGAGCTGAAATATATTCGCGCATTTAGACACCCCTCTGCTTCTGAGGATAAGGTTTCAGCTGCAGCCATGCTGTGATTACAGATACGTTTCAGTCAGTATTTGTCAGATGTACGGCTGCTTTAACATTGCCTTTTCATGTTCAACACAGATACACAATTTTACACCCTAGTCCATACTATTATTGACTGCTTCCTTGAAGATATACAAATAAATACAATTTGGAATAAAAATATGAGCTTGGCAAACTAGTGCCTGACTTGGCGCAGACATTTGCTCTGGAGTTATGTATGGCTGATGCAAAGCATTCCACATTACACTCACTCATACTCCAGGAGTAATCAGTAAATGTCTTTGAAGGAGAGTTTGTTCAGCACTTCATCAGGTATAAAGTGGTTTTTATTTGGAAATGTGGTCTCTATCCATCTTTTAAATGACTTTTTAATGGTCGTCACACTATCCCAATCAATCATTTGGCTGAGCTAGCCTGCAAGCCCAAACTCCCTCTATTTATAATTCTTATAATTTTGCTGCAAAAACTGTACCTGACACTGTACCTTTCTAGGCCTGTAAGTGGAAACATCCATGGCTTTGTTTTTCTGATTTCGGACTTTTTTTTTATACTTTACCAATCTGCATTATTCTCGTCTCCCCTGTCTCGATATTACATTGATTCTTTTCTGAAATGGTGGCTAGGATGACTTACAACAATTTATTGTCCAGGCTCACTGTTTGTGACCCTTCAATACCCCCCTGCCGCACTGCCCCCCGTCCACGCAACTGGCGGCCACAGTACTTTACATCTATAATGAGATACAAATACGCATCAGCAGGAGAGTGTCTATGCCACGCGTCGCTGTGTGAATATTACTCACACTTATTAGCGGGATTATGTTAATCTTTACACTCTCTGCTCACAGACAACAGACTCTCTGAGATATGGGGGTGGTCATGGCTGTAAGCGTGCGCTGCCGTGTGTCTCTGAGTGTGTGTGTGGGGGTGAATGTATGTATGAGTGATTGCTGTGTTGTCAAACTGATCTGCATGTGAAAAGGTGGTCTAATTATATCACTTATGCAAATAAGACATGCGTGCAGGCATGCACATTTATACACACCGCAAAAGACTTATAACTAAGGTCAAACAGAAAGCTTAAGGTACAGTCTTATTGATAACAGAGGGGAATCACCCCTATGAGAGATATGTTTGATACTGTCCAAAAGTTACACTGAATCTTTTGATAGACTACTTCTAATATGCTGGAGAAAAGGCGTAGACTGGTCAATCTCACACAGGACTACAGCACCCTTTTTTTGACTGTTATTGGAAAATGTCCAACTGCGTATCCACTGATTAGTCTTTTCTCAGACTGATACATTGATAGTATCCCTGTTGGCATGATTGATTGAGTCTGACACATTTTAATTACGCCCAAATTAAATGAATCGCCTGGCAGACTATAAAACATTGCTGTTTAATAACGAGCCCCTCCATTTTTCTTTTTTTTTTGCCTGCCTTCATCCAATCTCATTTTGGCGGCCCACACCAAATAACCTCTCTCCATTTAATGATATGCAAATGAATTTTCATGAACCCCATAATCCCATGCGATGATTAAACCGAGATGACATTAGCTGGCATGCTTCTGCCACTGTCAGTGTTTTTGTCTGCTTCTTTTCTGTATCCATATCTCTACCATCTTTCTCCGTATCCACGACAACAGCCAATTGGTGATATTAAAGGGGTTCATTGTCACAATTCCCTTATGAATTTCTTTTTATGAGGGATGACATTCTGAATATCCAGTGTTATTTCAGAGACGTTTTTCCAGTTGAAGCAGATATGGAGCATTAGAGTGCGAGATGTTGGTTCTCACATATGTACGAAAAGTAGACTGAAGACATCCTGTTAGAATATAGGCAATTATAACAATGCAATAACATCGCACAGAAGACGTTGGTAGCCTTCCACATCTCATTTTCCACTTCCAGTGCTTCCCTCCCACTGCTCCATTTTAGTCTGTATCCAGCTCCACCTCCGCTGTCGCTTATTGTACTCCATTTGCATAATGAAGCCCAGGCTTAATTAAGATCCCACTGGAGTCTGCAGCCAGGAATGAAGGAAAGAAAGATGAGGAAGAGAGGAGGGGGGAATCCAGCGTTCCTTAGCTTATCCACACATGTCCAAATAGGAGGCGCAATTTAGGGGGGGAGAAGAGCGTTGACGAACGATTAAATCGCTAATTATGATCGGCTGTTAGAATTAGTGTGTGGCTGTTAATGAGCTGCAGATGAGATGCCCAGACAGTTGCCCGCCCCTGACGACTGCAGCACCCTTCCTGACTGGCAATGGAGAAACACAGCTTGACACCTTGAAGACGATGCCAACATCTCCCTCCCTTTAACACACATAGCGGTTTGGGTGGATATCCCTTTAAGGACATCCCAGGTGTACAAGTCCAGGAACGAGGCTCTTCATCATCTCTGTCCAATCACTCCCACTGTTCTTCGTTAAGCACAAAATATATCCCTTTTTTTTCCCTCTTCTGTATTCTGTATTAACTTTGCTCATTATTCCTTTTCGTCTGAATTCTCTTCCTCGCCGTGATGAAATGGTACAATCCCACCTCTTGGTTCTATGCAATGGACAGCAGCTTCCTTTCAGTGCAGCAGTTGGCACAGAGGAGAGTTGGCATCAAGGAAATGTCTTCTGTCCTCTATAAATGCACTTAAGCTTCAACTGTAGACGTAGCTTTGAACCTTTTCCTTCGATTTTGAGGCGATATTTGCTATGTTTTTGTGCAGCTGTCCATGGCGCCTGTAAATGCCTCGCAGTTTGCATTTGGCATGATGCCATCTTTGCGTTTGGCTTCTCCCTTGAGGGGATATCCAAAAACATTCAAGGCGTTCGAAATGTTCCTCTCGCCGTATGGACGTTTTTGTTTACAAATGTGTGTATTATGCCTCTTTGGCAGCGTGCCATCTTTCTCCTGGTGCCCTTGTTGCCCGTCAAAAGATACCATCACAACTACTGGCAACCATTGCCCGGGCACTTCCTCTTTGCTGTGTCCCGGCAAACAAACGCCGATTTGAAGCAAATCCTCGGAGGTGAGTTCTCTTGTCTTTGACTACAACGGTCCTCCGCCAGCTGCTTTAATAGCTTCGGGTATGCCACGAGTACAAACTGGCACTCTGCCCGTTGGCTGGCACGCTGCGGCTGGCAGAAGGAAGAGCGAAAAGTCAGTGAGTGGAAAGAACATAGTATTTTTCTCTGCCATTGTTTTTCATATGGCATCTGCTCACCATGGGCACGTCCAGTTCCCTCTTCAACGTCTTTCTATGTCTCCTTCATCGATCTACAAGTGAGTCATCCCCAATGTGCAGGCGTCTTACTTCTATACTCTGCTATACTGTGATGTTTTTAAATTCTTCCTTCTCTCTGCCCAGTCCTGTGATCGTGGCGCCCTATTATGTCTGAGCCAAGGTGGCATCATGGTAGCAATATGGAGGTCTGTTTCTCGTCCTCTTTCACTCTTATCCTCCTCGCCCCTTTGCCTATGCCCATGCCCGCCCCCGCTCAAGTCCTGACTGGATGGCACTGTGCCAACCTGCCACCGCCATCGTTCTCATTTGTAGCTCATCTCTGCGTTGCCCTTCCCCCTGTCTCCACATTTCCATCCCTCTAATTGAACGCTTTCACTTTTTCAATAATCTGTTCCAACAGTTTGTGTACAGGGCTAGACATGCACCCGACATTACTTAAGTGAGACAAACCCAACTTTTCGTCTATTACGCGGCATGCTAAGAATGGTCAGTCTTTACTGTCATTTGAAGGACTTTCAGCACCTGGAGGAATGATCTCGGTGACTGCCCTGTAGGTAATTACTGCAGCAGTTACTTATTCCACTGAGACAAGTGGAGAAGGACGAAGAGCGCCCTCAGTTTGGAAAATGCTGTGTTGTTTTAATTAACTTTAAGCAACCCCCTCCATATGTGCTTCAATTCACATCTCAGTGAGCCTTGAGCAGGTTGTGCTTGTTCACACATTCACAGTACAGCCAAAATGATTGATGTGATTATCAGTAAAATTGATTGTGTACCACTGACCTCAACCACTTTACTGAAATGACCCATGATCCTTTGTTTTTTCCTTTTTCCCCCCACTTTGGAAATTCTCTTGTGACAAACAAAGCAGCCAGTGGTGGCGTAGCTATTAAGCAAATAGTCTCATTAGAACACAAAACATAATGAATATGGAAATGATGTGAGTAATTTATGCATGGAGTGTTCTCTGTTCAATCTACCATTGTATTTCCCAAATTCAGAACGAGCTTTCTATATTATTTCACAATCTTACACCAGTGTTCCTTTTTTCTTCAAGCACATTCAATCCTGAATCCACTGAATTCAGTGGTGTAAACACACACCAGCAGGGTCCCTGTCCCTTCCCTTTATCCATGGTTTAGAGTTTCTAAAGGTTTTTTCAGTCTCTCCCTTTTTTATCAGCCTATTTCTACTCACAGTGTCTTCTCTCAGAAATAATAGAAAACCTGTAGTGACGCATTAAACCAACAACTAACTGCATTGAGAATGTCTTCCTTACAGAAATAGGTAGACTGAATAATCTATCGACAAATGAACATCTGCACTTGACTTCAAGTCTGCATATTCTATTTATCCCACTGTCAGTGTGTTGCTCATAATGTGTGGTCCAAACTGTGTGGTAAATTGAAGCATGTCCTGATAGACAGAGAGTAGCCCTCTCCTGTCTAGGATAAACACCTATAATACTCTGGCTCCCTTGGCAATCACCATAGCAACAAACCATGGTACCCACGTGAGTTGCATAATAAGATGTTCCCCAAGACCACGGACCATAAAGCAACAACAAACTAGACACCCACAGCAGGGGATGTTCATTAGAAAATAACCATTTAAATATGAAACCCCGCCTCTGGCTACTGGAACATAAAATCTTCCTGTTTATCAATAGGCTAGGAACACAAAACGTACAGCGTGAAGCGCACACGCACCTTTTCTATCTTTCTAGACCTTAACAGGTGCTGATGAGCCACAGTCAATGATTGTAATGAGCTATCGATCACCGTGGGAAAACAGAGGGACAGAGAAGGCTAAGGCAGGCAGGGGGAACAAGAGGACACGCTCTCTCTCTCACACACACACACACACACACTGAGGGGGACTGCTAGAAAATAATAAAAACTTCAGATGAACCAAGTGGACATAAGCTACCCCTGACAAAGTATTTGCACTTGCTTTAATCAAGTCCTCCTCTCCATTTGGATTTCATTCATAGGACGGCGCTTTTTATATGCTCTGGTTAAAGGGAACTGGTGAACTCCGAGCTGCTCCTGGACTGGCTGTGTTACGGATGACCATGCAGACACGCTTGTCATGACCAAGTCCAGATGCCAATGAATGGCTCTGACGCAGTATCTCTATTTTCCTCTTTTTTTGTGTGCAGTGTGCACAGGGTGGAAGCAGACAGCTTTAGGGAAGGGGGAGGTGCGTTGCGTGTGTCTGTGTGTGTGTTTCGTGTGTGTCGGCTGGCGTTTCAGATAATGAAATGCAGCAGGGAACAAAGAGCTGGGGGCCCCTATTCTCTGTGCTGCAGCTTCATTTTCACTCCCGTCAGTCTATGATTCTTCCATAGCCTCTTTCTTGTGTACATGTAAGCGTGTATGTGTGTGTGTGTGTTTATGTTTGTATGAACTGGTTGTTGTGTGTACAGCGGTCCCCTCCTCCTCCTGTTAGCATTCTGCATGGCAGATTCCCCTAATGTAATAACTGTGTCTGCATGTCTAATTTACAGCAGGAGAGAGTAAATAGCCTGTGGTTAATTACAGTACGTGTATGTGTCTGTGTGTGTGTGCGTCTTTGCGTGTGTCTACATGCGCGTGGGTGTGTCAGAATGATTTATGAGTTGCAAATAGCTACACCAGTGCCCCGTTTCTCCTCACTTAGTTTTTAATCTGTCTTTCCATTAATTTTCCTGGAGATGTTATTATGGTTTTATAACAGTGTGCACGAGGATGCACATGTGAACGCACGTATGTGTTAATGAGACGGAGGTGAGGGCATTTTCTGAGAATCAAACCCACACAGGCACCTGGGTCGCACTTCTCCATTTCTCTTCTTACCTTTCCTTTTGCTCTGTGCAGCTGCTTCATTCACTCCGTTCATTGGGAGTCACAATGAACACAGATCTTTATTGACAGTACACGGTGGAACATGGAAACAGCAGGTCAATCCGTTTAGCCCAAGGGCCGATACACCAATTCACCAATTTGTCAGTGTTAGTTTGAGAGAGAAAAGCAGCTAATCTCTCCTCTCTGCTCTCTATTGATCACACACTTAGACTCCACTTCTCTGTCTAAACACTATTGATTCCCCCTCTCTCTCAATCTCTTTCTCTTCCTCTGTTGCTGTATTGCTCTGCTTACATACCAAAGCTCTCATCACATCTCCTCATACACCCCAACTACTTTTCACCTAATACTCAGGTAGCGGGCCTGTGTACTTGAACTCTCCAGTCACATTTCAGATGGAGCTTATGGAGCACTCAAGGAATTCTACATTTTACTGCTCGGCCCTCAAGTGTCACAAACCGCTGCCCCCTGCTGCGTACATTAAAAACCTTATTCGTGATCTCATTAAAAAAATCAATTACCTAGCAACTCTTCAACAGTGGGGAATACAGACAATGATTAAGAATTCACTGCTGGGTACACTGTCCCCTGACTTTGTTTTTCAGACTCACATCACAGGGGGTGGTCTTGAAAAGGAGCCCGTTCCTGTGAAGATCAAGGCCACGCACGACTTAAAGACTGACAGAAGCCTAGCAGCCCCTATTTATCAGTCCAAATTAACCGAAGGATCTCTGTTTAGACTTGTGGGGTCTCAGACATAAAAAGTCTTATCTGAGAAGTGTGATCACATAGATGTGATTATCATATGATCCAACAGAAAAAAGCTTTGATCTATGGCAAAAAAAGACATTCCTAACATATGTTTTGACTCTATAATTATCTATTCTATCAGTTTAATGAAATGTAAACAAAGTATTCCCATCTGTTACTCTCCTGCTGCAAAGATGCCACAGCTAAGGCTCCATTTGTTGGACTTGTCCCCCCCCTACTGGTCATGCTTGCAAATGACAACAAAACGTTGTCTGCAGGCGTTACAAAACACATTCACATGGCTTGTGTAACTACAAACCAGCTGGTGTTTGGTAACCGGGAGTGGTAGCGTGTTTCGGACCAGAAGAAGGGGTGCACTGAACGCCTGAGCCTTAGCCGTTCACATTCCACTTCATTTTGGAGCTTTAAGGTACCATCACCTTCGGTTAGAAGATGCCTCCTTCGACGTCTGGTGACCAGGCTCTGGTGAGAGGGATGTTAAAGGAGGTACTGGTGGGTCGGGAGGATCCAGAGGGTTTCTTTGCCATTTGTGTGTCCGTTTTGGGGCATCAAGAGACCCGTTCACAGTTCCTGTCCCTCATCAAGCCTCTGTCCACGGCCAACATCCGCCTGCACTCTGCCCTCACCTCCATCTACCAGGGCTATTTCTCCGAGGTGAGTACCCGATCACACTAGGATTAAAAAGGGAAAAAAAGTCTGAAAAGTTCAAGTAATACTACTACTACTACTAATATATTATTATTATTATTATTATTATTATTATTATTATTATTATTATTAACAACAACCATAATAATGATAATGAATGACAAATGACGAGGCAATTATTTGTTCAATGAGTGCTTAAAATAGTTTAAGGAAAGATCGAAACATCCTGCTTTTACTTGTGGGGTCACCTGTTGACACATTCCATGCTTACTGGTAACTCTTAGACTCTCCTCCATGTTCTGTAGTTACTAAAGTATTACCCTGGATCCAAGAGAGTTCTACCTACTAGACATACCCAAAGAAATATGAAGAAAAACAGTTTTACGTAAGCAGGGCGTAAACGCTCCTGTAAGAACATCTGCCTGTGACAAGTCAAGCATTTGCTGTAAAATATGTGTTTAAATTTAGAGAAACTAAAGTGGTTGCTGGATTTTTGTCAGAAAGTGCAAGACATTTCTAATGGGAAAGAGTTATGTTAAGTCAGCTGGAATATCCACATAATTAATTTAGAGTTTAAATGCAAACATAAAGTCAAATATATAGGGGTAGGACATTTTAGTTTGAAAATGATCCGTCATGGAATCAGATACTAGAATCTCAAAGGAACAATGCCGTAATTGTACAGTCTGTACCACAGCATAGTGGTGCTGTATTAACAGAAGACTGCACACAGTATAGAGACAGAAAATCAACACACACGCTGTGTCACGTGAAAAGATCTAACCTGCACTTAGAAGACTTTATGCTCAAGAATTACTGGTTATTAAGTAAGATGTTACTACAGATAATAATTATTAATAATAATGATTTTAGATTGAAGATGATGAGCTGGAACATGCTTTGGCCTTGTCTCTACTGGAAGCCAAAAATCAACAGCTGTCGACCACCAGCCGAGAGTCACAACCCCTTCACCCGGGACTGAACCGCTCCATTCAGCACAATTCACCACTGAAGTCTCAGGAAAAGAACAGTAACCGGCTGGATGATACAGGCGGAGAAAAAAGTCCCTCATTTGCACAAACTGCAACCCGGCACAAGGTGGGTTCTCCTCAGACAACCCAGAAGACTGAGCTTCAGAAGACTGAGCTTCAGAAGACTTCTCATGCTGGAAACTATGACGACCGATCGCTGGGGACAGGTCGGACTCTCTGTGCCCCGGGATCTTTAAGTGGAGGTGGCCAAATGACAGAAGAAGAAGATTTGAACCAATCTGAGAAACCAAAACGCTCCAAGAACAGGCGGCAGAGGCGAAAGAGAGCTGGCCAGCAGGTCATTGGCTTACCCTGTTCTCCCTCGGCACATGCGCCCGTTTTGTTGTGGTTCAGGAGAGATCTGAGGCTGTGTGACAACCCCGCCCTCATTGGTTCGCTGGAGCTGGGCGCACCTGTCATCCCTGTCTTTATCTGGAGCCCTGACGAGGAGGAGGGACAAGGGGTTACCATCGCAATGGGCGGAGCATGTAAGTCGCCCAAGGAACCTGTTTGGAATGTGTGGCTAAATGTTCTGCATTCTTTGAGCTGTCGTCTCATGACACCTTCACTTTTGTGTACAGGCAAATACTGGCTACATCAGGCTTTGTCCTGTTTTTGTACGGCCCTGGAGGGCATCGGTAGCCATCTCACCTTCCTCGCAGCCAACACAGACGGGGATAGGGTTGGATCTTCCCTACTATCGCTGAAACAGCTGGTGAAGGAGACGGGGGCGAGGACTGTGTTGGCTAATGCCTTGTACGAACCATGGCTGAAGGAGAGAGATGACGAGGTGGTGTCATCTCTGCAGAAAGAGGGTGTCGAATGCAGAATGTTTCACTCCTACTGTCTAAGAGATCCATATTCTGTCAGCACAGAGGGTGTTGGACTCCGAGGTTAGTCACTTAAAAAACTATTGAGCTTTTTTGAAAATTTGTTTCAAAAGTTTGAACTTTTTTTTTAAATTAAAGTTGAACTGGAATGTGATGCACCCCTGTATATTTTCTGATATGTAGGAATAGGCTCTGTGTCCCATTTCATGAGCTGCTGTAGACAGAATCCTGGTTCTACAGTAGGGACTCCACTGGAACCTCCAGGGTCTCTCCCCACCCCCACCCTCTGGCCACAGGGTGCCTCTTTGGAGTCGCTTGGCCTGGCCCGCATGCCCCGCAGAAAGGACGGCACGATAGTGAGTGACCAAGCAGCAAAGTTACCAATAGACAGAGCAAGAAATCTGATTACAATTCAAATAAGATCACGTGGACTAATAGCCTTTCCTTGTGCTCATCTTTGCCTTCAGGTCGACTGGGCAGCTAACATCCGGAAGTCCTGGGATTTCAGTGAGGATGGAGCTCACGCCCGACTAGATGCCTTTCTCCATGATGGTGAGACACTGTTTGTGCGCGGTGTGAGGTGCATACGCTAGCAAGTCGTGAAAGTGCGCTTTGAACAGCTGTGTGTGGTCATCTCCATGTTTCCCAGGTGTGTATCGGTATGAGAAAGAGTCCGGCCGGGCAGATGCTCCCAACACAAGCTGCCTGTCTCCCTACCTCCACTTTGGCCAGCTCAGTCCACGCTGGCTGTTGTGGGACGCCAAAGGAGCGCGCTGCCGACCCCCGAAGTTTCAACGCAAACTGGCGTGGAGGGATTTGGCTTATTGGCAGTTGACACTTTTCCCTGACCTCCCCTGGGAATCCCTCAGACCTCCATACAAGGTGAAAGGCAGCACACACATTTCAGTACCAGTCGTGAGCAATACAACTCTGGTGTACAATACAGTTTGATATGTACCAACAAACCATTCGCGTTACTTTTCCAGGCATTGCGATGGAGTACTGATCGCAGCCACCTGAAGGCCTGGCAGCGAGGTAAGACGGGCTACCCTCTGGTCGACGCGGCCATGAGGCAGCTATGGCTAACGGGCTGGATGAACAACTACATGAGACATGTGGTGGCGTCTTTCCTCATCGCATATCTCCACTTGCCTTGGCAAGAGGGCTATCGCTGGTTCCAGGTAGGTTTCAGGCACGCATGAATGCGCTTATATTTGTTTTTGTTTTTTTTAAATGAGACCTGACTCTATCAAACCTTTGTTTTTGTGCAGGATACGCTGGTGGACGCTGATGTTGCCATAGATGCAATGATGTGGCAGAACGGGGGCATGTGTGGCCTGGATCACTGGAACTTTGTCATGCACCCTGTCGACGCAGCCATGACCTGTGACCCCTGCGGCACTTACGTCAGAAAGTGGTGCCCGGAACTTGCCGATCTACCTGACGAGCTTATTCACAAACCATGGAAATGTCCTGCATCCATGCTGCGGCGTTCAGGTGAGGAGCACAAGGCTTTGGGTTCAGCTCGTCGTTTTTAAGGACTCGTCTTAATGACTGCTTCTGATATGTTTGAAGAGGGCTGATATGTACAGGGAAGAGTCTGTCAGGTGGACTTACACATCCTGTGTCTGTTTAGGTGTGGCGTTCGGCCAGACATATCCTGAGCGGATAATCACAGACCTGGAGGAGCGGAGGAGTCGGTCTCTGCAAGACGTAGCTGTGGTGCGTAAAGAGTTTGGGCAGTACGTGGACAAGCGCTCAGGTTGCGACCTGGTGCCTTTGCCCCCACGCCTGGTCTCCCAGGCTCTGGGGCTGTCGCACAGGGACGAGGCAGTGACATCCAACCGGAAGGAGTTCCTGTTGCCCGTCATCACTCGCATGGAATTCAAACACCAGCAGGAAGATCCAGATGCAGACGCATCGTCGAACCCCTACAACGCTGTTCTGAAAGGATACGTCAGCCGCAAGAGGGACGAGACCATTGCCTTCCTCAACGAGAGAGACTTCACGGCCAGCGTGATGTATGAGGGAACCCAAAGACAGGAGAGGCTGGAGAGGGACCATCGTAGAATAGAGGGCCTCCCTCCGTCTCCCTCACCTCGTGGACGGGCCAGAAGAACTCCAACAGCAAAAGATAGGTTTTCTATCGTACCCGGTGGGGCTGTCACTGCACTGAAGTGAGCCAGATTCTTAAAAGAATAATGTATCTGTGTTACTAAGATGGTTTTCAGGTGTGTAAATGCACAAAATAACCAGCCCAATAGACTTTCCAGCCTTGTTTACACCTGGTTTCATTTCCAGGCAGCCTATGTTTCATCTAAATTCAAACATACCTCAGAGTTTGACTTTAAGGGTTGCAAGAACATGTGAAACCACCAAGAGTCACAAGCTTTGCTGTGACAAACGTTTTTTTGTCTTCACTAGGGCTTTTTCTATTGTCCGTGTGCATAACAGAGGACTTCAGTAAAGGTGAAAGTGCCATCATGTTCCAGTCCATGTTTTTCTATTTAGAAATGTTTTTTTAAAAACTGGGTTGACCTTTTGTATCTTTTGTGCCCTGACCTATGATGGAAGTCAGAAAATGTCAACAATGATATTGTTCAGTACATATTTCATACCAAAAATTGAGTCTAAATGTTGGGAAATAAAAGAAGACAATGTGTCAGGAAGTGTTTATTTTCTATTAAACAGGTTTCAAGTCCACAATTAAACTGTCAAACACGCAGTGTAGACCAACTTCATTAATAATACCAGAAAGACCAAGGTGCTTTTTTAATTCTAACAGTTCGCTATGACAAAATGTTGTGTTTTTAAACTGAATGAAATCCTTGGAAAATATTCTACTGGCTGTATCCATCTCTTCTGTTTCAGGGATTTTAAGCTGTAATACCTCAAACCTTCTTGTTTAGTTGGGGTACACTGATATCTTCCCTAAAGTCAGCCTTTTAACAGTAAAGGATTTCTAAAGCTCTCAGCTCTACAACACCAACAGGTCAGCAATATAAAACTAAAGCTTCATTGTTGGAGCTTTACAGACAGGAGGATCTAGTGCATTTCCCGGCCAACAGCGTTTGAAAAGGAAAAGGCTGATGCTAGGTTAGTCCTCAATGGAGCGGATGTATCTCTCATAGGCTACTTCATCCATCAGAGCGTCAAGTTCTGCTGGGTTTGCAATGGTCATCTTCATCAGCCAGCCTACAATGAAATCAGGTTAAGCCGTGAAACACTGTAATGTACAAGAGTCTGGGGAATTTAAAAAGATTTCATCATGCAACAAAAAATGAAGCAACAGCTAAAATGTATTAGCAGACTGAAACAGGATGAAGGCTGAAGGGATTATCCTGGTCAAAGTTAAATCAACATGCACGAAAGATGATCGAAGAGTGACACTTGCTTGAATTTGAAATATATAAACTTTATGTGAATATGGATTTTCACGTAAAAAAAAGATATTTAAAGAAAAAAAAACTTCTATAATCAAAACAGAGCTTTCATTTCTTGATGCCTTTTAGGTTATAGTGTAATACCGCCCTCTAGTGTCCAACAGTTGAACCTCAAAGATCACAACTGAATTAATATAATTTGGTAAAAATCCAAATTACAACGTTTTAATAAGTATATATAGATATATATATATCTATATATATATCAGTCGATTACACCATTCTGTGCAACACTGAATGTAAATGTCCTTCATAAAAACATCTAACAGTTTTATCTGTTTATGTTAAGGAAAAAGCCAACCTATTGATTCAGGACACTGGACAGCTCCCATTCACAATCAATGAATGGGCCAAAATATATTGGCAATACAGGAAACCTTTGAACTGCTAAACTTATCGTGCCATGTAACTTCTGAATCTCAGTTTACGATTTTGATAATTCCATCTGCACAAATCGGAACAAACACTTCTATACACACTTACCGTCTTTGTAACAGGATTTGTTGACCAGACCAGGGCTGTCGGCCAGGCGTGCGTTTACCTCGACAACTTCTCCAGTCAGAGGAGAATAAAGCTCACTGGCTGCCTTGACACTTTCTAGTGCCCCAAACTCATCTGTAACAGTTAGAAAAACACTTCTAAATCAAAGTTTGGTCAAAGTTCAGAAAAATAAAAACACTGCACAGAAATATATTGATGCCTGTCTTGTCATAATTCCCATTCCATATTTATTCATATAGCACTTTAAAACAACAGCTGGTTGACCAACATGCTATGGATCAAATAAAAGCACAGGACAGAAATGAGCTGTTGGTCATTTCTAAATCTCCAGCAACATCTGGTCAGCTGCCCTAACAAAATGAGATGTAGCACAAAGGTGAGCTGTGGGGTCAGAGAATACAGACCAGCACAAGGGACACTGGTGGAACAGATGGGACCAAATACAATTACTTAAGTTAATTATGTGCATTAAAACAAAACAAATAGTTATTAGTGATTTGAAAAACACTGAGTAATGTATTGATTTCATACCTTGCTGGGCCAGCTGTGTTCCCACCTCTGGTAGTCCACAATAAACTACATCCCCCAGGGCCTCCTGCAAGGTCAAAGCCGTTAAGAAAACTTGTCCAATGCTGACTTCTTGTACATGTTCACGTGAGCGTATGTGACACATTGCAGCCAGGTTGCACGCGCACAGCCAAGAAACTAACCTGTGCAAAGTTGCTGATACCAACTGTCCCTACGCCGTCTTCTTCTACTCGAATCCATTCGTGTTTGTCTGTGAATTTAAGTGCTGCAAAATAACACAACAGACTCAGAACACAAACAACCCTCTGCAGTCGGAGAAGGACATCAGGGGACACGCAAATGTCGGTGTGATGGTAACAAGCATGTCCTTCTCAAGCTAATTTACTCTTTTGCTACCATACGTAACGAGCACAACTTTTGCTCCAAAACACGCTGACAGCGACATACCTGACGATAATCGTCTCGACGAGGATATTGCTCGTATAAAATAAGATGTGGAAGCAATGTGCAAAGGAGAAACTGCTGCCGAGCGGGCAAGTAAAGGCAAAACTGTGCTAAAGCTGCAAGACAACGAGCGGAGGAGTCCACAAGCAGCCATCTTCGTCGCTTACTGATGAGGTGCTCCGTTTCTTCTTCGTTGGTATTAGAGGGTAAAGTGGCGCTTTCCTGCTGTCCACTGGTCATTGACGAGGAAATCTTAAAACTCTTTTTGTCTTTCCTGAAGTTTTACTAACTGTAGTGGGGATTTAAAAAAAATAAACATATTTTAATTGAACTAAATATTTCAAATTGAATGTATGTGTATTAGTAGAATGTCAATATTTAAATAATGTACTTTAATTGGAACATCCTAAAAGATTGTCATCACTCAAAATGTGTAATTCCCTCCCCGGTTTAATTCTTAATTTTGTCTTTCAAAGTAAGTTTTATTTAATTAAAAGTAAAGCCTAAGCTGATGGTACTCTAGTAGTTTGTCACTGTTCTCTGAAGCTCTTCTGATCACATTCAAAGTTAAAATCATCAGTACTGTATCAAACTACTCCACTAGATTTTACCGAGTCCCACAGGCAGAGTAAAATACCCATTCCAGACAAAACAAGGTAAACCTTGAATAAACTTGATATGCACGTCTTATTTTTGCATTTTATTTTGATTTTAAGTTCTGCTGTTAGTTGGACAACAAATTTACAAACTAACATCAAAACACAATTAACAGAAAATTAATGGAAGTCTTGTATTCAAAGTATCACTTTAAAAGGACAATCATGGAGAGCAATATACTTTTAATATATTAGAAATCTGCTTCCTGTAAAAAAAAAAAATCTTTTGGCAATCCGTAACAAGAATTGTAGAGGCATTTTATTTTTGTGTGACATTTGAATAGCCACCAAATATGGTCTCCATCCAGAGCTTCAAGTTTCTTACAGTGAGCCCTTATTTCATCTTTACAGATTTACAATATGCACACTTTTCATTTATTACAGTTGTGGGCCTTTTAACTTAGATTAACAAACTTACTTAAACTATATCTAATACTTCATTGCAAATTAAACCAAAACACTAAAGTGATACAGTTCCACAGCACTCATCTGGGTCGTTTTAGAGGTCAGCCTGCATGTTTTAATTCACATCTTTGCCGCTGCCAAATTGTTCATAAAGGAAAGTAAGCGCACAAATGAATTTTTCCTCACCATCGGTGAAAAACAAACAAACAAAACAACCCCCCCCAAAACTTAAATCTTTTATTAAGTAACATATTTTCATACAAAACAACAGAATATATAAAGAAAAAGTCACTCTCAAGCCTGGGAGTTCTACTATTGCTCAGAATGTCATTAGCTGAAGAAATGGCATGATCTGAATTAAAAAAAATAATGAAGCGAACTTGAGTGCTTCAAACAAGCACAAACTCCCTTTGTCCTGCTCTGGCTTCATATACTGTTGTAAAACAAAGTAAAATAATGGATGACTAAAAGTGTCCTTTCCTACAACTGGACTAAAAGCTACAAACATAAATAACATAAGCACATTTGTTTGGCTTTTATATTACACAGCTTCAAGAGTCCATCCAGTGTCCACTTTTTCATTTTTCGATTCAGAAGACGAGAACAAAAACAACAATGACAACACCGATGAGTAGAAATGATAGCTCACTGTGCAGAAAGGATGACAACGGAAGGGGGTTCAAACTTGTGTGTGTGTGTGCGTGCATGTCTGTGTGTGTTTTGTTGTCTCTCCTTTAGAGCTCATAGGAAGCTCACCCAGGTGTGTTGAAAAGTGTGTAACATGTCCATTTGAAATCCCTCCTGTGGGGGTGCAATGTGCTGCCGGATGGGTGCGAGTGCTGGCGGTCCATTGCAGACAGAGTGGGGGGGGTCTTTAGTTTCTAAAGTCTCTCTCCTCACTGCAGGAAGGAACGGCTAGATTGGGAAAACCAGGAGGTTGATCTTTGTCAGGTCACCAGCGTGTACCACAGACACAACACGCAGCATCTCGGTCGGACAGACCCGGGCACCCCTGCTGCCGTTTAAGTGGTTCGTTCCTCTCCGTCCGTTTCCTGCTTGGTCCTGCGCAGATTGCTTTTCATCTTCACAAACTCTGGGGTGTTCTCCTGCTCCTCCTCATTTTTCTGCTGCTCCAGTTCCAGCTGCGTGTCAAACACGTAGCAAACATGGCAATAAATCAGGTCATCAAGTCATGAAGCATTAGACAGATACACTTCAAATAAAGGTGTGAGTTGTTTAAAGACATCCCCTTCCATCATCCCAGTTTACCTGTTCAAGTTTCTGTTGCCTTTTCATGAGCTCTATTTCCAGATCACTCCTCTTCTTGTGGGCCTCCTGCTCCTCTTTCTGAGCCTTGATAATTTGTTCCCTCTTTCTCTTCTCAAGAACCTTCTGCAGCTCGGGTTTGTTCTGAGGTGCCAGGCCCCTGTGCACGACAGATATGGGAAACAGTCTGTTAACAGAGTAAGGCTTAACAGCCAACCTGTTGCAACACAAAGCTATGACACCGAGTAACCCCCTTTTCTGAGGAAGACTGGCTCACAAATGAATGCAAAACAGATAAAGACCATGACCTCAATCTAGTTCGACATGCAGATCAGCATTAAATGTTCTGGATTAAACACGTCAATCTTGTTTTCAGATTGAAAATCGGAGATTGTTCTACATTCACAAATCTTTAGAAATTATGTTTTCGGTGGGAAAGTGGGTTGAAACCTTCGTTTTGTTCGCTCTCTGCATATCTTAAACTGCCCTAGCTGTCTTGAGCCACCAGGGAACAAGTGGGATTGTTACACAACTCAAAGGTTTGTGTTTTCCAAAAGAGGAGAATCTTGGAAAATGTGAGATCGTCTTGGCAAGAGCTGCAAAGTTACGCAATCCTCTCAAGTCCTCCAAATTACGAGACAAAAGGGTGGGGGCCAAAGATGAGGTTGGGCAGGAGAGGAACGGGTTGGACTCAGCTGTAAAGGGCAAAAAAACAACAAATAAAAAAAACAACCCCCCCAAAAAAACGGTAAATTTGCAATTAAAGAATTAAAGTCCTAATAAAGTACTACATAATAAATAAAACCCAACATACAGAAATTACAGGGAGCACTTGATTGAAAAAAACTAAACAAAACAAAACTACCTCTGATCCAGAGTCTGTCTTTCTCTGTGACCAGTTCTGCTTTTATGATCACGACTGCCTGCCTTTTTATAGAAAACAGTGTTGCTGCCTACCTGCCCACAGCTCTGCAGCAGCAGAGGCTTAATTAAATGCAAAATTACGTCCTGAATCTTACATAACAAAGCTGAGAACGCTTCAAGATGCAGCCGGACTTAATTTACAACAGGGTGTTACTTTATTGAGTCACTGCTGCAGTTAATACAGACTGTTCTCATGTCAGTGAGTCTTATGAGAGCACTCAACAGGATGAGGCAGAGCAGACGTGACCAGATCGGGTCGGTCTTAAAAGCAACATACGTAGACAGAGGAGGAGGTTAAAGTCACTGGAGGCAATCAGACGCGATGCTGGTGACGCTGTTTTTTTAAGGTTTGCAACATTTATATAATCGCAGACCCCATGCACAAGTGCACAATGCTCTGAACAGACTGAACGTGTGCTCTCTGTGTCACATACCAGCATCTCCATCTGTGGCAGTCGAATTCTAAAATTCCTCCCCATGTGTGTCTTAGTGTGTGCGTGTGTGTGTGTGTGTGCAGGGATGACTAAGGCGGCTAAGCAAAGGCAGAAAAAGGCCATCAGCTAGAGAGTGTTTTGTAATCTATATTACATAACGTTTTTTCTATCCGTCCATCCATCCACCCACCCACCCACCACACCCCTCCTCCTCCTCACGGTCATCACTGAACTGATCCACTACAATAACAAGGTTTTCAATACATGCTTAAGAAGCCCAACCAAAATAGCTTTGGTTTGTTTACCCCGATCGGCAGATTTCTCAGTCTGTCTAGACAGCTAAAAATAATATTCTGAAGCATTTGAAAAGCATTTTCAAAGCAGGATGCATTTTTCAAACATATTTTCTCATGAAATTTCTCTTTGGCCCAATTCCCCAGTACTCTTTAACTGCCTTCTGCCATTCTCTTTGACCTGTTTAAAGACAGAGCATCACTGCTGTGATGGAACAGCTGGCCACAGCAGGACTGTTTACAGAGATATTTTTAGCTCGGGTAAAAAGCTGCCAGCTCTGTATGGTGAGAGGAAAAACCAAACAGAGTAGCTAAAGAATGGTCATGATACACATACATACATACTCACATGGATGGGAGTGTATATATGTGACGTTTACATAACCAGAGACTCCTGCACTAATGTGTTTATATAATAGCTCCTATTAAAAGTTTAATATCGGAAGCTTTACATAATGATGCTGCTGGAGGGCTGCTGAAGAGACCCGCATTAAAAGTATAGAAGCATTAGGAATAATCTGGAATTATTTAAGATCACTATGACAAAAGCTGCAGATCTTATTAAATTCTCTATTGGCAGCGTTTGATGCCAATAAAAAAATTAATTGGCCTCAGACAGTCTGCATAATTTTCCTCTGTTTTAATTGTTCTGAATAAGGATATGAATTGAAGTTATTGCCATAAACAATGATGATCTAGAGATGGTTAAACAGCATGAAAGTTCTAGAAAAACAATAAACTAATAAACCGAGTCTGCCGCGTGTGAACCGATAAATTTTACTGCTTATTTACAGCCCCACTCATAGGCTTGGAATTCCAACTTCTGTGATATGCTTTGTTTTTCAGATTCCATGGAAAAGCACTGTGGTTCTAAGTGATTGCAAGTGATTGATCTTTAAAAACAATCTGGTAATATCCACTAATCTTGATAATGATTAATAAGAGGAAAAAGATAAGGCTATCATCCAGAGAGAATAGAAGCTCTGTTTGCCCAGCTCCTGACCTCTTCTGGTTCATGAGCAGCTCTCGATGCAGGTCCTGGTGGTTCCGGGAGCTTTTGACCGGGTTGATTAGTTTTTTGGGTTTGATGAGCTCATCGCAGTCTCCCTCTAGGTAGTCCGGTTCTGCCATGACACTCCTCCCTGGTGACAGCGACAGATGAGGATTACACGGATCTGATTTAAGAGAGAAAATGAAAAAGACTTTCTGTTTACCAACTGTAGGACGTGGGTTTGCATGCGGAACATAAAGGACACAGATCGGGCACGAGTAGGAGTGGCTGCTGTGGAACAACAGTTTTCACTACTGAGGGACATTTACTGAGAAGAAACATGCTGAGCAGACCAGCTATTTCAGGAAAAAGAGACCAGACAGACTTATTCTAAAAAGGCATCCCCTACCCCCGCCCCCCCAATATCTTAAAAGGACCAAGGTTGACCTCCAATAAATTTGCATCAGCTCATATGTGTTTTGACTTTTTAAATCATACAAATCTTTATGTGTATTAAGGGCAAATGTTTCATTTTTCTGACTTGACATGTCAAACCCTGACGTGAGCATCCGCTAAATCCTCTGGTATGGATGTTTTGAATGGTCTCTTAGGGATGGAGAGACAGTGCTGGAGTTACATAATTGTTCCATGCTGCGTGAAGAGGAACATTTCATCCTGTTCTGTTGCATGTCATCAGACTTGTGTCAATACGCACACGTGAATTTGGGCAGAAAAAATCCACACAACACATCTTTTGATGCTCATTTCCAGAGGGTTATCAAATTTGTAATAAAAGGCTGAAGTAATTCGTCATCGGCCAGACTAACAAACTGTATGAATTGTTTTTTTTTTCCCATTTCACAAGTAGAAAATAAAAAAGTTATTTAGAATCGAGTAAGAGACTTCATGTTTCTAGTCATCAACAGTGAGACAAATCCTAACAACAGCAGGTCTCCCACAAAAATAAAAAGGGAGACGATGTTTGTATTATAAAAAGTTTGATTGCTTCCAAACAGATGGTCCTATCCACAAAAGTTTAATGCCGTAGCATGAAATGGTCTAATACCCCCCTTAAAAGACATTTTGTCCCTTTTGAAACATTATATGGTTGTAAATAAATGATAATAAAAAGAATGCCTTTAGCATATAAAAATTGCTCAAAACTGCCTCTTGCACTGACTCACCCTGCAGATGAGGAAACATGGAGTATCTGAACATTGTCGTCATCGCTGTTGCTTTGATTCAAAATCCGATTTCCAGGAAAAGCTATTAGAGCTGGCTGTTCTGTTTGTCAGTGGGCTGCGGAGTCTTGTGAAGGAGACACGCTTCGTGCTGCACAGCTGTCGGCTACTGAGCCGGTGGAGTTCAAAGTCTGTTTTATAGCTATACGCTCGCACACATACACACACTGACACCCACCAACACACACTCTCTCTCTCTCTCTCCCCGTCTCTGCTCTGCCCATGTCCTCCGTCACCGTTTTCCTTTCAAAAGCACATCTTCAACAGTTTATCAATATTTCCCCTGTCAGTAAAGGCAGATTTCCAGAGCAGCTGGTGCTTTATGGAACTCGGGTTTTAATCGTCATCTAACAATTTTATAGCTGAGACTTTGTGACAAAATGTCTGAAAAGCAGTGTTAGGTTTATCATCTGAGGAATGAGTCAGATTCAGAAGCAATTGTGATGCCAGTGTCTGTGATGTCAAGCCATTGCTTAGTTACAGATCTCCTGTTTGAAGTGTGATGGAAAAGGGCAGACAAAATAAAAAAATAAAAAAAGGTGCTGAATCCTCAGCGATCCAATCACAGCCAGTTGTACCAAAGATGCAGTGCACTGCACGTGCTGAGAACAAGGGGGTGGGCGGGGGTGCAACAACATGGCCTTCCAGACAAACCGATGTAATACCCGAAAGCCTCCACTAGAGGGCGATGTTTTTACGCCACAGCGATCAAACCGTGCCAGTTACATAACAAAGAAGCCTCAGGGAATCATGGTGATACTGCAGAGTGAAAGACAAAAAACAAAACAACAACAAAAAGCAAATATAACACATTATTAAAACACTGTAGAAAAGGAATTTGTTGACTTGTTATGTTAATAATTTAAAGCCGGATATAATGCCTTTAAGGTTGTGAGTAATCCCTTTTAATCCTCGGATTAGTAATCTGTGTAATTTAAAAAAAAAAAAAAATGCATTCAAGGTGAACTAATCAAATTCCTTAAATTTCAGGGTCAAGTTTTAAAAATCCATGGAATAGCTTCAAAATGCACATTTGTGCTCTACAGAATAACCATAAAACTGCATCAAAAGCCAAAATGTTTGTGAGGAAGAGGGCAGTTCGGAAATAACATCTGCATTTAGGACTTCCCAATGTGGCTTCTGTAAATGTGGAGTGGTTTAGGAACCTACTGACTGTCAGTGTTGTCATAGTGTCCGTTATTTTAACACATCTGCTCCTACTTCCTGTGTGCCCAGGGGGAGAGGGGAAGTAACATGGGGAGTTCAAAGGAGCCAGACACCCTCAAATTGGAGCATGGCCCAAAATCAGCCGTCTAACTGATAGTTTTAGGTGTTTTATTTTAGTCTCTATAGGCTTCTTTTAGCCTACCTCAAGACAGAACATAGAACTAATGAAAGAAGTTTGAAAATTGAAAAGTATTTTAACTATTCATCATGTTCCACTCAGTCAATAGAAAAAAAGTGTTTTTTCCTACCTCCTGTAGTGTAATCTGTGGGGTTCAAAACAATAAAATACCATAACAAACATGCTAATGGCTAATCTTTAACCAAACTGCTACACTATGGCTAGTAATGTCAGACAAAGTTACAAAAGTTTTCTCCTTTGGTTTAAGGTTAGTGTTCTGGTTTTGGAGACACACTGCTTCAGGGAGGAATGCACAAACATACATTAAAAGACACACACACACACACTCGCATTTGGATAATGACCCTCTATACGGACTGCTCTCCATGAAATCCAAGCTAAAGTCTGCAGCATCTGATTGATGCAAAATTGTTGATGGAAAAAATGAGATGAAAGCTTGTAAATAACAAAACGAAACAAAAATAATAAGAACTGCAAAAAAAGAAAAAAAATAGGTCAGGCTTTGGTTTCGAAAAAGAGATGATAGGTTGATGTGAACACAGCTGCCCTTATTTCAGTTCACCTTCTACCTGCAGTAATGAACCCGTTTGTTTTTTTCCAATGGCTTGCATGAAAAGTCACATTTCTGAATAAGGAAATGTCTTCTCAACCATAGAAATTTTACATGCAAAAAGATTAAATGTTGCACAACCTTAAATGTGTAGATAATTTCCCAATTCTAGGATCAACACAGCACATCTCATCTAAAACTGTGGTCAGGATTTACAAGACATTACCAACATCGTCGATGCAGCATGCTTCTCTCACTTTGTGAAAAAAATTAAACGGAAGCAAGGGCGGCGGTTTGGTTTGAGAAGAGGAACTAAATCGATCAGTGCGTTTGCACTTGTGGCTGAGTGTGAAAATGTACCCAGTGGTGGCAGGTTGCATTAGGGCTGATAGAATGAATGGTCTTAGAAGGGTAGAGTGACTGACGGTGCCAAGCTATTGCATCATCTGAACCAGCCCTGCTTTATGAGCCTTACATGTATTATATTCAATTTTCACTAACCTGAACGTTGCTTTGAGAACTGCCTTTAGCAATTCTTCATTTTTTGGCCCTAAGATGTGGATGATATCTAATTACTGGTGCCTCATTTAATGGACATGACTTTTAGAGAATACGCTTAATATGTGTGTGATCAACATATATGGCAACATTCTAGTTCATTGCTTTAGGCTGCAATCCCTCTAAAGCTTGATCCATATTTTACCGTTAAAAAACTTTTAGTGTTAAAAAAAAGACTGTTGGAAAGCTGGAAATAGTTGTTCCACACCACCGTGCTGATTTTCTTTAGATGCGTGCCACCCAAAAGAAATTCTATAACATATCAAGTTAGTATTTAGTTATACAGATTCATTCTAAACTGCAAGAAGTTTACTTCATCCACGGGGTGCCTTTCCAAGGGGTCTGAGGACAGGCCAGTGCAAAGTACAATGAGTCCTCAGTTCTTTCCTTAGCTTGTTTTTTAAATAGGGAAAGGGCCACCCAGAGGTCCCTGGTCTCCATTTCATACACTTACAATTAGAATTAAAACAGAAGCTCCTTGGACTCCATCTCCCAAGTTTAGCAAATACGCAGATAGGAAATGTCAGAGCTGATTAACGTTGGAGCTACTTATTTTTTTTACCGAAATCACTGCAGGCAGGAGGGAACCACTGGGGGAGATGAGATGTATGACCTCTCCCTCCTGACAAAAAAAGAGGGTATGTAGCTCTACTGGCAGAACACTGAGTATTGTATTAGCATCATAGGAAAACCAGATGGAGCCAATTAGATTTTTACATTTGTTCTCTCATGAACGCAGCCATCGCTTTCTGTCTGTCATACATTCATACAGGGAGGGGCACGGCCCTCTGGGAGGCAGGGTGTGTGTTTCAATAGTAATTGCACATATTAAAACATGAAACCAGAAACCAAAACATCACACAAATGCTCAGCTTGTTTACGTCAATCTACAAACTAGAAATCAAACCATGGAAGGCCCTCTCCCTGCTCAAACAGACGGGGGCAGACGGACAGAAAGGCCCGTAAAGACGGGATGGGAAGAACCTAAATTGGCCAGACAAACAATGCTGTGGAATATTCTGGACATGAGCAGAAGGAGAATTCAGTTGGGATTGGCTAAGATGGATATATTTGGGGGGGGGGTTCCAAATATTTGGTCATGACATGGTTTATCCCCTAATGCGTTACAAATGTCCTTTCTGCTGCAGTCTCCGAAAGGCAAAAAAAAAAGGCAAGTTGTGTCCTCAGTCACCATCTGACCTCACATTCTCATCTAGGACGCAGGCAGAAAGTGAACAGACCATCCATAGAGCTGCACAGGGCGGGGCCGAGCAGTCAGCCCTCACTGGTCATGAGCACGCGGCACACCCACCCGCTCTGTCATCTGTAAGGATTTAAAGGACAACTAAAACAAATAGGATTTTTTTATTAATTTATATTTCATAGAGAGCAGAACTGAGGTTTCTTCCTTGTGATACTGAATGACCGTTTAAAAAAGTGTAAAAAAGAGTTCAGTATCAGTATGGTTTATTCAGTAATGTAAACTTTCTTAATATTAGTAACAGCTTAAGATAGAAGATACTGTCAGAGGCTTCACAATAATGTAAGTTGGAAGAAATCTAGCTTCAAGTCAGCCACATCGATATGTGT